TATACAGTTTAGTGGTTCGAGGACTCGGAGGCTCCTCGGTCGGCCTAACTATTTATAGAACGAGTATGGAATGTAATTTACGTACTCGACAGCTTGGTGGACAAGAACGGGAATAGACACATTTACTGAAATTGTCTTTCGCGCAACACACTTTAAGAACGTGTAATACATAAGTACAAAAGTTTTACTTCACTCATCAAGTTCATGTCACGTTTATTTTGCTTTTATTTCACTCATCAAGTTCAATTAACGTGTATTTTGCGATCATACATGTATGTAAATTATGTCGACTGCGGGACTGCGGTAGCAAGGATCAACAAGGTCAACACCAACGCGCACGATGCAAGCGGCATATTTCGTGATGTTTATATACAGATATTAGGTAAAGTATGTCGACTGCGGGACTGCGGTAGCAGGATTTGATGAATGATATTTCAGTGGCCGGGTATTCTGAAGTTTAGCCTAAACCTGACAGTTTAGAAACGGTAAAGGACTTTTGAAGGAGGGTCAGACCGAGGAAAGCGCTTTCGGATTCGAAATAACCGACAAGCAAGCCCAGAAAGGGGGCTCGAATTCTGCCAAGGAAGGGACAATTCAGATCATGTTAACTTGACCCTACTAAGGTGGGTGTCCCTACAATGTTTAATCTTAACCTGTACAACAGCGGTAATTTCGGATCAACGCTGGGATTTAAGGTGCCCCTGAACCCCTACTGGTACCATCTTTTCGTTCCATGTAAACAGGCCCTTAATTTAGTCAGTGTAGCGAGCATTTCTGCGCGGCAGGCAACATACCGCGGAAATGCTTGCTACACAAGCTTTTGTAAACTGGAGTAATATAAAGATTTAGCCAGGGCTAAAAGCGAAGCTCCTATCAACTCGAATTTATAATTTAAATCAAACAATAAACTTGTATTCCACAGATCAGTTAACTTTAGAGCACATTCATGTGACTTTTGAGGGAAAGGTTAAGTGATTTTAGTGAAAAATAATTTGCAAACAGTCCATCTAAGAGTGAACCTAATCTTACGTCGAGTTGATAGCCTTATGTGTACACCCAAAAAATAGCAATCATCTTCGATCACATTTAAGAGCCATAATGGCTCTTGATCACAGTTTGTAGATTAAACCTGGAAAATAAATCAGGCCGAATTTTTTGCGTTTGACAATACAAAATCTTGCCAATAAGACTGAGGACGTGTAAACCAACCTTTTATACTTTATATATCACATCTGAGATGAAACAGTACCATGAGGCGCTGTTTTTATCATACAGACCTCGGACAGAATGCAGTATTTCACAATTTTGCAATACAAATTGCAGTCATTCAATATTCAGGACGATCGAAGCACGCATGGGAGTTTTAGCGAAACCGTCAAAAAAATTTCCAAAATCACCTATACGGCTAGCCGGTTCTCACTTTTGACAAGCGCCAAAGTCGACTGTTTAGATTAAAGTGCCCATCACCAAAAAATTTTTTAATTTTCTTATCTGAAACTATACCTTATTAAAATAACTTCTGCGAAAAAAATTTGCGATTTGAACAAAAGCCGATTTTTTTACAATTTTTTGAAGTCTACATTTTTGCGGTACACCCGCGCCGCTGATCACGCAAACTAGCAGGCTCGGCTATGACGTCATGTGACGTAAGTTAAGGAACTCGCGTTACCTTGCCTTCACCAGCTGTATACAAAAAAGATCGATTACAAGTAAGGATTGAATCGCTATGTCTTCGCAAGAAGAAAGTTTTTTGAAACAGAAAGTGAAAAATCAAGAAGTGAAGACGAGACCATCGAGGTAGAAGCGGTCGTATGAGAAACAGAAAACAACATAGAAGACGATTCGCTCAAGCCATACGCAGACGAGCCTTTAGCTGATCAATGGCTGCAAAACTGTCGGCGTGAACAAGCCGAAAGAGATCGGTTGGAAGAACTTAGATGAGCTGGAAAAGAGTCTTGAAAACGGCGTTCGTGTCGCTGACTGGTAAGTTTCCTTGATAGTTCTGCGGACTACTGCTTCGAACGTTCAACAGCAACAAAAGAACTATATATCTTCTACATTGCTCTCGAGTCAGTTTAGAAGCTTTTCAATGTTTGCGGCATTACTCGCGTCTATATTTTACGTTTAGGTGTACTTGTGGAATTTGTAGCAGTGATCTGTTCATAAACATTAGCGAATGCTATTGCTGCAAGGAGCTGGAAGGCTGTGTTGAGTCCCTATCGAGTGAAGTTGTGCGCGAAGAACCCTTCATTTTCTTTACTTCTCGGGGTTAATTGTACAACTTTAATTTAACACTGATATTGACCTATAAAATCTGTTTTACAGCAGTAGCATGTCTTTTACATTTGTTGTAGATATCTCCGATCAATTACTTGTCGGGAGTTTACGAGACTTGTCCATGAACACCTGGGAAAAAAAGAATACCTCTCCCTGCCTGTGCATATGCTGCTATTCAGAAATCAGTTCTTACCAAGGAGGACGAGCAACTAGCTGGTTTTCAGCTAGAGGAAGATTAAGTTCCCCTACAGACATTCATTTAGTCAATGCAGCTGAGTACATTTAAGTAAGGGTAGCATGGAATTTGGGGCTGTCACAAGTTGTATGGCCACATAATGAATTTCTTTATCACATTTTTTCACGTTTTGTCAAGTTTTTTCAATGCTATGAACATCTTGAGCCTGAACTTGAAATTAAGGTTATTTATTTCAAAGTTGTAAAAAGCCAATTTGCTTTCGTTGATTTCCATCCATTTAAGGAGACTTGTACCTATTCCCCTGTAGTTTAAACTTGGCACTAATTTTTTTTTCAATGAATTGTAATTATCATTCATTGCAAATTTTCCTTCCTTTTCAATGGCTGTGTGCCCACCACGTGACCTGCAAATAACTGCCTACAAATGATGGTCTACTCAAGGACAATGTCATCCAACTTTGCTTTGCTGCAAATAAAAAAACTGGTGATTGAATGACAAAACAATATTATTGACCTCAGTTATTTCAAAATATAGTGATTTGTCAGTGTCTCGCAGATCAATAATAAATATTATTTGCCTCAGTGTTAGGCTTTCATCTGCTCGCCACTGACAAATCACAAAATCTTGCTCAACGTTTTCCAATTATTGTTAATTTTTAAAATCAATATTTTATCGGGAAGTTCCAATCTTATCTTCTATTAAACTGTAAATAACAGTAGTGAAGACAAATCACATGAGGTGAACTTTGCTATTTGGTAACAGTTCAAAATCTCTATGCTCCATGTAGTAACTGCTGTCTGGTTTCTGTACAAACATACCAACCTTTAAAAACATTTCGTTCAAGATGACAATTAAATGCCAAGGGCCTTGGGATTTTTGACCAACGGCAATCACTCTAAAAAGTTAATTCTTTTCAACTTGGAAATCAGGACAACCAAAAAATTGAGGATATTGATTGATGTGTGGTCATTTTAAAAAAATTTCTTCAGGAGTGTTGACAATAATATGACTTAAATACGACTTATTTCACAATAGAGTGCAATAATTGAGTAAAATTTCTGACTAGATTAGGAGATCAACTTTTTCTGTAAAGATTCCCTAGTATTTCACATCTGTTTATATAAAAAATCACTTTTCTTCCATTTTTATGCATGATAAAAATGTCTTATTCTTTATTGTTTCTTGGACAATCTAAGACGGCGCTATGTCCTCTCATTGGCTTCTTGCATAAAGAGCAAACAGGGCGTGCTCTTGCAGGCCGTCCTCTTTGTTCACCCGATGTCTGATTTGGCACTGCAATAAAAATGTATTGAGATAAGGATAGATGATAGAATGAAATGTTTCTTTTTCTGACAGAGCGAACCTTCATTTAACTATAATTCTTTGCTTATGCAAAGGACCCTGAAATGGCTTACTTCTGCACAGGTTGTCTAAACATCAGCAAACAAAAACAAGTCCTCCTCAGGACTACACTAAAGCAGACAATCATACAACAACGCATGAAAAGACTCCTGGGTTTAAACCATTTGCTAAAAATAAGGGGATTGATCGCCAAGCCTCCCCTCAAGGGAATTGACCAGCCTCACTAGGTTCACCAGTCATCAATCTACAAGTTAAGATTTTAACAATGCTGCTTCAAGTTCCAAAAAACATACCAGATGGTGCTGTGGGGGGAATAGCGGTTGTAACCATGTTCATCCTCTTTTCTCTCATCCTGATGGCCTCTTCCCTGGGTTGTTTATCCAGCGTGCTGTTCATTGGCTGAGGAACCATTTTGTTCATGTCATTGCATGCATCTTGAAGTTGCTGTTTGCTTAGGGTCATGTAAAACTTGAAGAGTTCTCCAACATAGTCTAAATGTTCATTGAACAAAAACAAGGTAATAATTTTTGAAGAAGTATCAAACAAAAAAAGTAGAATGACACTTAGAAAGCTATTTTAACTGTTGGATGAATGGTGGTTAAATACCAAAGTTTGGCTCAATCTTGCGGTTCCGCACAGTTGCTTCGCCATTCTTGAATTTGGGGTATGTCACTTTCAGCGAGACACTTNCGAAATTAAAGTTTTTGTCACCGTAAAAACCTGTTCCTCGTTTTTGAATTGTGCTAGTTCAACGAGTCTTGATATTGTTTTGAAAGTATCTTCTAGTGAAAGAAGAAGAGTTATTCTATTGATCGAAAGTGTCCAAATTTGTCTTTACTGCTTTCTTTGCGAACGCGAGGGGAGATGATGCTGGCAAATTTCGGGTTGAAGATACGGCCATTTTGAGACTCCGACCACGTTAACTGATATTCTTACTTTTCTCGAAAATAAAAGGCTTTTTGCGAGAACAACTTGCATCAGATTACTTATCTACCTAAAAGCTATTTATGGACAAAAAATGAAGGAAATCGATTTTTTCTACTCTTGCTACTCGATGGTCGGTATTTCCTGACCGTCGCTCTTAAACACTAAATTTAAACCATAGTCCCATTCAATGAAGTTAAATTCATAGTCCAGATAATATCATTGTTCAATATATTGGCACATTGTAAGCTTGCTGTATTTGCCACTTTTTTAGGTAAACACGTACTTAAGTTCTACAAATAAAACGTTTTGAGTAGACTTTAGCTATTATTGTTAGGTTGCTTTATCATTATATAAATGTTTCGTTCAACAGTCATTGCAGGCAAGGAGATAAACATTACACTGACCATCAAAGATGATGAAGAATGCTCTGATGCGGAGAGACAATACAATAAATCTTCATTGTCAACGGAACTTTCTGTGACGGTAAAGTTAAAGTTAGTTGTAGTGTCAATGTGGGTTTGCAAGTAGGATTAAGTCAGGGTAAGAAGTTTTTTCTGAGCCTACTACTCTGATCGAATTTTTGTCCCTCACATACTCCCGCCATTAAGGACTCTAATACGGAACTTGTTCACTGTGCTATGTTTAAACGAAATAGAGGATATTATAGGGGCGCGCGGAGATGCGAAATTTCTCTTCAAGGTGTGAAAAATATTAAATACGAGTGAGCGCAGTAAAATGGGAAACCCATTGTTTAATTGCTCTCAGATTACCAAATGGCTTCGAACTCTCGTCTCCATTCTAAATCGTTAACCCTGGCGAATATCAGTAGACATCAATTCGAACGATTGGCGAAAGAAAGGCGTCGAGTAAACCTGGCAGTTTAGAAACGGTAAAGGACTTTTGAAGGAGGGTCAGACCGAGGAATGCGCTTTCGGATTCGAAATAACCGACAAGCAAGCCCAGAAAGGGGGCTCGAATTCTGCCAAGGAAGGGACAATTCAGATCATGTTAACTTGACCCTACTAAGGTGGGTGCCCCTACAATGTTTAATCTTAACCTGTACAACAGCGGTAATTTCGGATCAACGCTGGGATTTAAGGTTCCCCTGAACCCCTACTGGTACCATCTTTTCGTTCCATGTAAACAGGCCCTTAATTTAGTCTGTGTAGCGAGCATTTCTGCGCGGCAGGCAACATACCGCGGAAATGCTTGCTACACAAGCTTTTGTAAACTGGAGTAATATATAGATTTAGCCAGGGCTAAAAGCGAAGCTCCTATTAACTCGAATTTATAATTTAAATCAAACAATAAACTTGTATTTCACAGATCAGTTAACTTTAGAGCACATTCATGTGACTTTTGAGGGAAAGGTTAAGTGATTTTAGTGAAAAATAATTTGCAAACAGTCCATCTAAGAGTGAACCTAATCTTACGTCGAGTTGATAGCCTTATGTGTACACCCAAAAAATAGCAATCATCTTCGATCACATTTAAGAGCCATAATGGCTCTTGATCACAGTTTGTAGATTAAACCTGGAAAATAAATCAGGCCGAATGTTTTACGTTTAACAATACAAATTTTGCCAATAAGACTGAGGACGTGTAAACCAATCTTTTATACTTTATACATCACATCTGAGATGAAACAGTACCATGAGGCACTGTTTTTATCATACAGACCTCGGACAGAGTGCAGTATTTCACAATTTTGCAATACAAATTGCAGTCATTCAATACTCAGGACGATCGAAGCACGCATGGGAGTTTTAGCGAAACCGTCAAAAAAATTTCCAAAATCACCTATACGGCTAGCCGGTTCTCACTTTTGACAAGCGCCAAAGTCGACTGTTTAGATTAAAGTGCCCATCACCAAAAATTTTTTAATTTTCTTATCTGAAACTATACATTATTAAAATAACTTCTGCGAAAAAAATTTGCGTATTGAACAAAAGCCGATGTTTTTACAATTTTTTGAAGTCTACATTTTTGCGGTACACCCGCCCCCTTGATCACGCAAACTAGCAGGCTCGGCTATGACGTCATGTGACGTAAGTTAAGGAACTCGCGTTACCTTGCCTTCACCAGCTGTATACGAAAAAGATCGATTACAAGTAAGGATTGAATCGCCATGTCTTCGCAAGAAGAAAGTTTTTTGAAACAGAAAGTGAAAAATCAAGAAGTGAAGACGAGACCATCGAGGTAGAAGCGGTCGTATGAGAAACAGAAAACAACATAGAAGACGATTCGCTCGAGCCATACGCAGACGAGCCTTTAGCTGATCAATGGCTGCAAAACTGTCGGCGTGAACAAGCCGAAAGAGATCAGTTGGAAGAACTTAGAAGAGCTGGAAAAGAGTCTTGAAGACGGCGTTCGTGTGGCTGACTGGTAAGTTTTCTTGATAGTTCTGCGGGCTACTACTTCGAACGTTCAACAGCAACAAAAGAACTATATATCTTCTACATTGCTCTCGAGTCAGTTTAGAAGCTTTTCAATGTTTGCGGCATTACTCGCGTCTATATTTTACGTTTAGGTTTACTTGTGGAATTTGTAGCAGTGATCTGTTCATAAACATTAGCGAATGCTATTGCTGCAAGGAGCTGGAAGGCTGTGTTGAGTCCCTATCGAGTGAAGTTGTCCGCCAGGAACCCTTCATTTTCTTTACTTCTCGGGGTTAATTGTACAACTTTAATGTAACACAGATATTGACCTATAAAATCTGTTCTACAGCAGTAGCATTTCTTTTACATTTGTTGTAGATATCTCCGATCAATTACTTGTCGGGAGTTTACGAGACTTGTCCATGAACACCTGGGAAAAAAAGGATACCTCTCCCTGCCTATGCATATGCTGCTATTCAGAAATCAGTTCTTACCAAGGAGGACGAGCAACTGCTGGTTTTCAGTTAGAGAAAGATTAAGTTCCCCTACAGACATTCATTTAGTCAATGCAGCTGAGTACATTTAAGTAAGGGTAGGATGGAATTTGGGGCTGTCACAAGTTGTATGGCCACTTGATGAATTTCTTTATCACATTTTTTCACATTTTTTTCAAGTTTTTTCAATGCTATGAACATCTTGAGCCTGAACTTGAAATTAAGATTATTTATTTCAAAGTTGTAAAAAGCCAATTTGCTTTCATTGATTTCCATCCATTTAAGGAGACTTGTACCTATTCCCCTGTAGTTTAAACTTGGCACTATTTTTTTTTTCAGTGAATTGTAATTATCATTCATTGCAAATTTTCCTTCCTTTTCAATGGCTGTGTGCCCACCACGTGACCTGCAAATAATTAGCTACAAATGATGGTCTACTCAAGGACAATGTCATCCAACTTTGCTTTGCTGCAAATAAAAAACTGGTGATTGAATGACAAAACAATATTATTGACCTCAGTTATTGCAAAATATAGTGATTTGTCAGTGTGTCTCGCAGATCAATAATAAATATTATTTGCCTCAGTGTTAGGCTTTCATCTGCTCGCCACTGACAAATCACAAAATCTTGCTCAACGTTGTCCAATTATTGGTAATTTTTAAAATCAATATTTTATCGGGAAGTTCCAATCTTCTCTTCTATTAAACTGTAAATAACAGTAGTGAAGACAAATCACATGAGGTGAACTTTGCTATTTGGTAACAGTTCAAAATCTCTATGCTCCATGTAGTAACTGCTGTCTGGTTTCTGTACAAACAAACCAACCTTTAAAAACATTTCGTTCAAGATGACAATTAAATGCCAAGGGCCTTGGGATTTTTGACCAACGGCAATCACTCTAAAAAGTTAATTCTTTTCAACTTGGAAATCAGGACAACCAAAAAATTGAGGATATTGATTGATGTGTGGTCATTTTAAAAAAATTTCTTCAGGAGTGTTGACAATAATATGACTTAAATATGACTTATTTCACAATAGAGTGCAATAATTGAGTAAAATTTCTGACTAGATTAGGAGATCAACTTTTTCTGTAAAGATTCCCTAGTATTTCACATCTGTTTATATAACAAATCACTTTTCTTCCATTTCTTCCATTTTTATGCATAATAAAAATGTCTTATTCTTTATTGTTTCTTGGACTATGTAAGACGGCGCTATGTCGTCTCATTGGCTTCTTGCATAAAGAGCAAACAGGGCGTGCTCTTGCAGGCCGTTCTCTTTGTTCACCCGATGTCTGATTTGGCACTGCAATAAAAAATGTATTGAGATAAGGATAGATGATAGAATAAAATGTTTCTTTTTCTGACAGAGCGAACCTTCATTTAATTATAATTCTTTGCTTATGCAAAGGACCCTGAAATGGCTTACTTCTGCACAGGTTGTCTAAACATCAGCAAACAAAAACAAGTCCTCCTCAGGACTACACTAAAGCAGACAATCATACAACAACGCATGAAAAGACTCCTGGGTTCAAACCATTTGCTAAAAATAAGGGGATTCATCGCCAAGCCTCCCCTCAAGGGAATTGATCAGCCTCACTAGGTTCACCAGTCATCAATCTACAACTTAAGATTTTAACAATGCTGCTTCAAGTTGCAAAAAACATACCAGATGGAGCTGTGGGGGGAACAGCGGTTGTAACCATGTTCATCCTCTTTTCTCTCATCCTGATGGCCTCTTCCCTGGGTTGTTTATCCAGCATGCTGTTCATTGGCTGAGGAACCATTTTCTTCATGTCATTGCATGCATCTTGAAGTTGCTGTTTTCTTAGGGTCATGTAAAACTTGAAGAGTTCTCCAACATAGTCTAAATGTTCATTGAACAAAAACAAGGTAATAATTTTTGAAGA